ATCTTTACATTTATATAAAATAAATCAATATATTTACCAATAAATGAAATGCATTGGAATTTTTTCATCATCTTCAAAAATATTAAGTATACAACATCTAATCGTATGCCATTACATAAACAAATAATCGTTAAGTATCCTAAATAAATACAATGTAACTAATAATTACAAATATAAATTTAAACATAAAATTTAAAAAATTACCTGGACATTAATGACCTAAAACAAACACAAAATTTCTAATAGAAAATTCGCTTGATGGGGTTTTGTATTGATACGAAATTTTATTTGTGTCGTATGATGTGTTAGATATGCATGCCAATAAATGAAAAATTGTTGCTATATAAAATCAATCTATGCATTGGAATTTTTTCATCAACTCCAAAAATAACCAAAGCCACCCATATATTAAGTACACAACACCTAATCGTATGTCATAACATAAGCAAATAATCATTAAGTATCCTAAATAAATACAATGTAACTAATAATTACAAATATAAATTTAAACATAAGATTTTAAAAATTACCCGAATATTGATGACCTAAAACTAACACAAAATTACTAACACAAAATTCGCTTGATGGGGTTTTGTATTGACACTAAATTTTATTTGTGTCGTATGATGTGTTAGATCTACATGTAAAAACACATTTTGTAAATAAAACATAAACATATAATCGTTGAGTATCCCAAATTAATACAATTTAAATAATAATTAGAAATACTAATTTAAACATAGGATTTTAAAAATTAAGCTAAAAATTACCCAACCAATGACTAAAAATTAACACAAAATTCTCTTGATGGAGTTTTCTAATGATAGATGATAGGAAATTTTGTTTGTGTCGTATGATGTGTCAATTTATAATGGTAGGTATCACAAATTTTAATTTAATTATAATTAACGAACAATTTTATTTCTTGTCATATATACTATGAAAATTTATCTTATAATAATAGGTATCAAACTTTATTATAAGCATTTATCATTTAAATATATCTTAGTATATTTTTTTTGGATTTCTTATACTCGTAGTATTGAATTAATAAATTTACCTTTTCCCATATTTTTACTTTATTTTTTTTCATTAAAATAATTTAATTCGTATCTACGTGGCATTAAAATTTTAGATATATCAAATCTAATTTTTTACTTTTATCTAGGTGGCGACATAATTTTTTAATTCAAAAATAAAATACAAATCTTTTTTCTTATTGGTCGAAATAAGTATAATTCTTACGTGGCGCTCCGAAAGCTCTCCTTTCTTGAGATATATATATGACAATTCGTGCATCGCACGGTATTATTTCAACCAATTAAAAGTTAGATTTGTATTTTATTTTAGAAATAAAAAATTCACTCGCCACATAAGCAAAAGTGACGAATGAAATTTAAATTTTTTGCCACGTAGGTAAAAACGAAGAATAATGATTTATTATTTAAATTATTTTAAAACTTAAAATTATCTTTTTTTAAAAGATGATCTTTTGATATTAGGATTTAAATTAAAAAAACTAATAAATTATACAATTATTATAGACAAACACTTTAAAATTAAATATTTGAAAAAGGAAAATATATGTTCATTTTGTTTTTAAGAAAACGTTCAATCAATTTTTTTAAAAAAAAAAAAAATTCAAAAGAAATATAAATTATTAATAATTAACTAATATTCTTCAATTTTTTTCAAAAAAATCAATATTCTTCAAAAAAAAAATAAAAAAAATTCAGTCTTTATCAATATTCTTAAAAAAAAAAAACAATAATGTTCAATTTTTATCTTATCTAGCAACCCATTTTATGATTAGATAAAAATTTTATAAGAGATTTATTTGCTACTCCACAAATATATAAGATAGGATGATATTAAAGATTTGTATCCATCCTCTCAAAAATATAATTTTGATTTTTTTTTTCAATTGTAAATAGACAATATATATATACTATACAAAAAACAAAAACATGTAAATATTATTTATCTACACTTTTTCATGGTGTGAATTTTTTTCAGGTCTAGTTCGTTGATTAACAAAAAATATTGGAAATAATGTGAGTATATCAAGCTTTCTTATGGTAAACAAAATAAATTGATTGTTATTCATTATTTTATAAGATGTATGTTTTGTTTTATTTTACATAATCTAATTATGTTACTTATCGTATTGAATTTTGTTTAACAACTTAATTGTAACTTAATATTAATTATTTTATATTTGAAGGGATTATGTCCATGCGCCAATTGAAAGGAAATTATTGGAAAAGTAAGGGTCTGTTCCCTTCAGCTTATTCTCAGTTCAGTTATGTTCAGTTCCTAATTTCCCCCTCTCATAAAATATTCAATTCAGTTTAGCTTTAATCAGTTCAGTTCACCTCAGCTCAGTTCAATAAATCAGAACAGACTCTAAGTCAACTATAATGTTACAATAGTAGGGGAAAAAAATAAAGATTGTAAGAGATGTCTCCGATAATTTTTATTTTTTGTGTATTATAGTTTCTGGTAGAATATCTATATTATTATTGTAAAAATCATTGTAGTAGTGTATACATATAACTCTATTATTAAGACATATGATAATGAAATTTCATTATAAAGATTTAATTTTATTCAATTAGATTAATTTTAGTAATGCAACACTCTTGGTAGTATATATATATATATGTATATGTATGTATATATATATATATATATATATATATATATATATATATATATTTCATTTAACTATTTAAAAATTTATAAAGTCATATCTTTTACTATTACTCCCACTGTCTTTATTATTTTAACCCTATAGTTTTGGGTTTACTTTATTAATTTTTCATTGTATAAAGTTGATACGGAGTAAAAGAATAATGGTGGTCTAAGTTATTGTTTGTGAAAGAAAAATAGTAATTCTATAACTATATATGTATAGTGGAACAACGTGTTTTCGTTATACAAACGAATCATAGGTTAAAAAAATACGAACAGGATTATGATTTTATTCTAATATCTATCATACTTATAATTTTCATATAACTAATATTAGTAAATTAAGGTCGCATTATAAGTTGCATAAAAATAAAACAAATTATTCGTTTTCTAACAAGCAAAATAAAAATAAAATAAAATTATAGGGTTTAATTAAGAAAAAAAAATCTTTTTCATGAGATTTATGTATAAAAAACCGTGCATCGCACGGGCTTCCATCTTATAATGATAGGCATCAAACTTTATTATAAGCATTTATCATTTAAATATTTCTTAGTATATTTTTTTGGATTTCTTATACTCGTAGTATTGAATTAATAAATTTACCTTTTCCTATATTTTTACTTTATTTTTTTTCATTAAAATAATTTAATTCGTATCTACGTGGCATTAAAATTTTAGAGATATCAAATCTAATTCGTTACTTTTATCTAGGTGGCGATATAATTTTTTAATTTAAAATACAAATCTTTTTTCTTATTGGTCGAAATAAGTATAATTCTTATGTGGCGCTCCGAATGCTCTCCAAAAATGTCTACTTTATTTATATATATTAGATTAGATTATTGTCAACTGACCGTCTTACAATAAAATTAACGTACCACCGCCTTACACAAGACTTATTGAACTTTTAATTGAAGTGAGTGTAGATTGTAAAGTACTCGTTATTATTGTATATTGAATTTGTCTTATGCTAATCAAAAGTTACATCAGTATAAAAAATTGTATGAGATTTATTGTTCTCCTTACAAGAAATTTATTACTCGTATTATATAAAAACACTCATAAGGCATAGAAGTAAACATATCACCTTTATAAAACCTATCCCTAAACTAATAATATATTGTAATTATGATAAAAATATCGTACAAGCTATATAGAGACCCAAAATAGGTTAAAAGTTACGGAATACTTTGTAATTAGGTGAGTTACAATTAAATTAGTATACATCGGATGTAAACACATTGAGATATTTTTTATTACATAATAATTTAAGCAATAAAACCCGAATTATAAATCTATAGAACGAAACACACAATGAACCATTTTTAAACTGTACTTTCACATGTCAAGGAATTCTTCTACCTCAGGTTGAATCTAGTTTTTTTTTTTTTTTTTTTTTTTTTTTTTTTTTTTTGAGGGATGAAATCTTTTTATAGTTAGATAATATTATTCTTATCTTAGTTTTGGCTAATAATGTTAGAGCAAGTGGGTTAAAATTAAAAAAAAAAAAAAAATGGAACAACAAATTGAAAATTTTTATACTGGTTAAATAAATTGAAACATGTGGGGAAAAAAATCAATTCACTTAAAATCAATGTTTTTTTCATATGTTATCGCTAATACAAAACTAAAGACATCAATGAAAAATAAATACTCCATTTTATGTTTTGGTGAAGAAATAAATACTCCATTAAAACAACATAAAATGCAAAAAAAATAAAAAAATAAAAAAATCTCCAACAACACAAATGAATGGATTGATCCACTAATTTCCATGTAGTATTATATTTTTGTTTTATGATGGTTACCAACTTTAAAACTTCAATTTTGGTCCAAATTTTATCATTTAATGTTCTATTAATTAATTTTCAATATGCTTTTAAACCAAGTATGAAATGCAAATTTAAAATATTGGACGAAAAAATAATTAATATTCGAGTTTTAATCACGTAGCTAACCCATTTTCTTGATCTAATTTTACTTATTGCTTCCAATTGTATTACATATCAGTTCATCATCTATCTCATAATTTTTGTAGGGTAAGAAAAAAAAAATTGATAATTGGTTTTCTTGTCATAAACATCTTACCACTTGTTAGGCCATTATTATTCACCCCATCTAAAATAGAAAATGTCAAACAAAAATGAAATAATGAACATACAATTAAACTATCTAGACCCTATTATCATGGCAACAACTTTTCTAATCCTCAAAGTCCTTTAATACATTATGCAACAAATACACTTTAAATAATCCCTCTAATTTGCTTCTTTATTTTAATTTGTTCACGGTAAAACAAAGTGATGTCTTTCAAACACCATCAACTTCACATAATTTTCTTACCCTATATGGCCCCAGGCCATATGATGCCAATGGTTGACATAGCTAGAGCCTTTGCAACCCACGGCAACACCAAAGCCACCATAATCACCACCCCGACGAACGCCTCCCGTTTTAACGACACCATCACCAGAGACACCGATAACTCAGGGCACCAAATCACATTCCTTACAATCTCTCTACCATTAAAGGAAGTAGGCCTCCCTGAAGGGTGTGACAACCTTGTATCCACTTCGACACGTGAGACTACCTTCAAGCTCTTTCGAACCATCGAAATGTTGCGCCCTATGCTTGAGACGATGTTGGTTGATAACAAACCAGATTGCATTGTGTCTGATTATCTTTACCCTTGGACCGTTGACGTAGCCAAGAGGCTAGGAATTCCAAGGTTGGCATTTAGTGGTGGTTGTTTTTTTAATTGTTGTCTTAGTTACAATCTAGAGCAGTTTCGACCTCATGACCGTGTCGAATTCGAGCGCCAACCCTTTGTTGTTCCGAATTTGCCCGATGAAGTAACATTGACAAGATCACAACTTCAAGATCTTGTTAAGAGAAACACCGATTTTAATGAATTGTTTGAAAGACTTAGAAAAGCTGAAAAAAACAGTTTTGGTGTACTAATGAATAGTTTTTATGGTTTAGAGTCTGCTTACGTGGATTATTTTAGAAATGAGATGGGAATCAAGTCATGGCACATTGGTCCGTTGTTTCTCTTCAATAAGCCTACGTTAGACGATAAAGTCGAACGAGGCGACAAGAGTTCGATTGATGCACATAAATGCTTACAATGGCTTGATTCAAAGAAGCCTAACTCTGTTCTTTACATTTGTTTTGGAAGTTTAAGCCGGTTTACGAAATCTCAGCTCATAGAAATGGCTAGTGCTCTTAATGATTCAGGGTGCTCTTTTATTTGGGTATTAGGGAAAGTCATGAAATCTAGTGAAAATGATAATAATGACCAAATTAGCCAAGATGATCAAGAAGAAATTGAAGAAGAGCAACAACATTGGTTGCCTAATTGGTTTGAAGAGACCTTGTTAGAAAATAAAGATAAGGGGCTTGTTATAAAAGGGTGGGCCCCACAATTACTAATCCTCGAGCATCCAGCAATAGGAGGGTTCTTAACACATTGTGGATGGAACTCGATACTAGAAGGGGTATGCGCGGGTGTACCGTTGGTCACATGGCCATTGTTCGCCGATCAATTCTACAACGAAAAACTTGTTACACAAGTCCTTAAAATCGGAGTTGAAGTAGGAAACATGGTGTGGAAAACGTGGGCAACGGATGAAACAGAGTTGATTCAAAAGGAGAAGATTAAGATAGCCATAGAAAGGGTAATGGGAGGAGGAGAAGAAGCAGAAGAAATTAGAAGAAAGGTAAAGGAGTTTAGTGAGTTAGCATACAAAGCTATAGAAGAAGGGGGGTCCTCATATAACGATGTTAATGAACTACTTAAGGAAATTAGCATGCACAAACAATATTATATGTTGAAAGAATAGAATTAATATATTAGCCACAAAACTTTATTATAGCTATATGTCACGTGCTGACTAATTCCCCTAGTCTTATGCACGCTAGCCTACTAACTTCCCTCCCTCGGATGCTAGTCAAGGCTTAACCCCGAAACGCTTCAAGCAAGAATGTGCAACGAAAGCTAAGGAATGTTGAGAACACAAGAGGATATAAATATTTTGAATGCTTTGATAGCTTGAGAGAGAGTGTTTACAAGTATTTTCTGAGGTGCCTCCAAATGAAGGCCAAGTCCCCTATTTATAGTGTTCTAAGCATGGCCTAGAACCTTCCCTAACCTCCTCAAATGGAGGGTTCTAGATCTAATCCTTTCTAGAGTATTCTATACATTTCTTTAGTACATTCCCTCTATATACAAGGCTCTAGAATTATCTACTCAACTCTAGATTTACAGATGATTCAAGGATGTCCTAGGAGGTTCTAGAAGCTTCCGGATGCATCTCGAGTCTCCTTGAGTATTCTGGAACCTTCCGCACTTCTCCTTCAAAATCTAACACCACCATGGTGTTCATTGGGCCTAAATATGGTGGACCCCCAAATTTGGGCTCGATCGGACTTCATTTGGGTCCCAAAATAGCCCATTATTGTGTTACTGTCACTTGGGTGTTCACTAGGGTGACAGCACAGTAGCAATATAAAGCTCTATAGGGGGAGGGTGTGTCTGGCCTAGTCAGTGTGCACCAAGGGCATTCCCCCTGGCCACGATTGTTGCCTCCCGTCCAATGGCCCTAGTGAGGGGTGGAATGTGTGGGTCGTGACATGCTCCCCCACCTAAGTCTTGACGCCCTCGTCAAGATCCCGACTCGAATGCCTCGATCTTGTCCGCAAATTGCCATAAATCTTCTTCTTTTTCCCACGTGGCCTCGCTGTCCGGGAGACCCTTCCAACGAACAAAGTATTCATTGTAGCTTGGCACACCTCGACGCCTTATGACTCTCTTTGCCTCGATACTCTCGATGTCCCTTTCAAATGATGCTACTACGGCCGTAGGTGCCCGTTGTGATTTACCCCTGGTCTGATCCTCTAGATCGGCATGGTAAGGCTTCAACATGCTAACATGGAACACCGGATGTATTTTCAGTTTGGGAGGTAGCTCAAGCTTATAGGAAACTTTCCCGACCTTCCTAATGATCGGGAATGGCCCTTCATACTTCCGCACTAGCCCCTTATGCACCTTGCGGAAGACTTTGAATTGGTGTGGCAAGAGCTTCACCATGACTAGGTCGCCTTCTTGAAATTCCAATGGGCGCCTGTTTTTGTCGGCCCACTTCTTCATCTTCTTAGCGGCCTTATTCAAGTAAGCCTTGGTGATGTCGAGCTGCTCGTGCCATCCCTTAGCTAATCTGTAGGCAGCGAGACTGCTACCCGTGTAGCCCGATACAACTGCTTGTGGAGTCAAGGGTTGTTGACCCATGACTATCTCATAGGGGCTTTGCTGGGTTGCCTCGGACCGCTGCAGATTAAAGGAGAATTGGGCAATGTCTAGGAGTTTTGCCCAATCTCGTTGATTGGCACTCACAAAGTGCCTCAAATAGAGCTCCAGCAAAGCGTTCACTCGCTCTGTCTGCCCATCCGTCTGTGGGTGGAAGCTTGTGGAGAAATGTAGACCGGACCCTAGCAGCTTAAAGAGCTTCGTCCAAAATTTGGCGGTGAACCTTGGATCACGGTCGCTGACGATGCTTTTTGGCAAGCCCCAGTACTTGACCACATTCTTGAAGAATAACTTGGCGGCTTGCTCCCCTGTGCAATCCTTATGTGCCGGTATAAAAGTCCCATACTTGGAAAAGCGATCAACTACTACCATGATAGAGCCAAACCCCTCTGACTTGGGCAAGGCAGATATGAAATCCATTGAGACGCTTTCCCATGGCTTCTCTGGTATAGGCAAGGGCTCCAAGAGTTCTGCTGGCACACGTTGCTCTACCTTGTCTTGTTGGCACACAAGACAAGTCTTCACATAGGCCTCTATATCGTCCCGCATGTGAGGCCAGTAGTATACCTCCTCCAAGAGTGCCATTGTCCGCTGTATCCCTGGGTGACCAGCCCATAATGAATCATGACACTCCTTCATGATGTCACGCCTAAGGTTGTCCCACTTAGGCACATAGATGCGACGTCCAACGGTGTAGAGTATCCCATCCTCTATCCAGAAGCGTCGGGTCTTTCCCTCGTTAGCCAAGTCCATCAAACTCTTGGCCATAGAATCCTCCTTTAAACCGTCCTTGATTCGATCAAGGAGGGAGCTAGCTATGCTGCTCACGCTAGCAAAGATTGCCTTGCGGCTTAGAGCATCAGCAACTACATTCACCTTCCCTGGCTTGTACTCCATAGCGTAGTCAAAATCAGCTAGGAAGTCTTGCCATCGAGCTTGCTTGGGGCTTAGCTTCTTTTGATTTTGGAAGTAACTTGTTGCAACATTGTCGGTATAGATGGTGAACCGACTCCCAAGCAAATAATGTCTCCAGACACGCAAGCAATGAATGATAGCTGTCATCTCTTTATCATGCACTGGATATCTCCTCTCAGTGTCATTGAGCTTACGTGACTCATAGGCCACTGGATGCCCTTCTTGCATGAGAACTCCTCCGATAGCAAAATCTGAGGCATCAGTGTGTAGCTCGAATGGCTTTGAGTAGTCGGGCAGTGCTAATACGGGCTCTTTGGTGACGGCGTCTTTCAGGTCATCAAAGGCCTCTTGACATTTGTCGCTCCAACACCATTGTGCCTTCTTCTTTAACAAGTCAGTCAATGGCGCCGCCCGTGCTGAGTAGCTCATGATGAACCGCCTGTAATAGTTGGCGAGCCCAAGGAAAGAACGTAGTTCCGACACGTTCCTGGGCTCCTCCCATTCCCTGATGGCTTGCACCTTGTCATGCTCCATCATTATCTTTCCGGCTCTAATATGGTGTCCCAGGAATGGCACCTCCTCCTGTCCGAACGAGCACTTCTCTTGCTTCACATAAAGCTCGTTCTCTCGTAAGACCTGGAACACCTGTCTCAAATGCTCCACATGATCTTGTAAGTTGTCGCTATACACGACGATATCGTCGAGATAGACGACAACAAATTTATCAAGGAAAGGCCGAAAAATCTTATTCATTAAGGTGCAGAAAGTAGCAGGGGCGTTGGTGAGTCCAAAAGGCATCACCAAGAACTCATAAGAACCATACCTGGTCACGCATGCCGTCTTCGCCTCGTCCCCTTCGGCGATGCGTACCTGTCAATACCCCGATCGCAGGTCCAACTTGGAGAAGTACCGTGCTTTGCCGAGTCGATCGAACAAATCGGCGACTAACGGGATTGGATACTTGTTCTTGACAGTGATCTTGTTGAGAGCCCGATAGTCAATGCACATTCGCAAGCTGCCATCATGCTTGCGTTGAAATAGGACTGGTGCTCCAAATGGTGCCTTGGAGGGCCTAATGAACCCTGCTTCCAGCAGCTCCTTCAATTGCTTCCTTAATTCCTAGAGCTCTGGTGGGGCCATGCGGTATGGTGCCATGGCTGGAGGCTTGGTCCCTGGCTCCAGCTCAATCTCGTGATCCACCTCCCTTCTAGGAGGTAGTCTCTTTGGTAGCTCCGGAGGCATCACATCCTTATACTCTGCAAGGACTCCGGAGATTTCTGATGGAACCTCATTCCCATGGGGCTCCTCTTCCTCCACTAATGCAGCCAAGAAAGTCTCTTGTCCCTTTTTGATCCCCCTGGACACCTGGATTGCTGAGATTGTCTTGGCTTCAACTTCTTCTCGTGTGACAGGAACGGACCATGACCCTTGATCCCTTTTGATCATAATTGACCCGTCCGCTTCAAAAGAAACGGGCCTTACTGTGTCGATGAACTCAAGTCCCAACACCAAAGAGAAGTCGTCCATATGCACGACTGTGAGATTTATGGTGCCACTCCATTGTCCCAGACAAATAGGTACCTTATGCGCCACACCAAGGATAGGAACGGGCGAGGTGTTAACCGTCTTGATCCTCCCCGGTTCCTTGGTGTACTTGATTCCCAACTTCATTGCTTCCTTCTCCGTAATGAAGTTGTGTGAGGCACCACAGTCCACGAGTGCCTTAGAAGCTCTCCCATTCACTAATGTATCAACAAACATAAGTGAGCCCTTCGGGCGAGGTAACGTGCTTACCTGGACCACTTTGGTGCTCTCCTCAGCTTTTGGTGTGGCCCGTACGCTACTAAAGAGGCGCAACGACCCCATTTGTGCATCGTCCCCCGACGATTCACCGCCCGAAGCTATGATGGCGCTGAGCTTCTGTCTCCCAGGGCAATCCCTTGCCCAGTGCGGCCCTCCGCACAAATAACAGCCCCTGTTGTTGGGCTTGTCAGATGATGAAGAAGACGACGATGATCCCTTTGCCTTGTCCTTTTTCACCGTCTTGTTGCTATTGGAGCTGCTTCGATCCGTGGGCTTGGCTCCCCCACCTTTTCCCTTGCTGCCGTTGCTACGCCCTTCCTTCCTTGTGTCCCTGTAATCGACCAAGGACTCTGCAGCTGCGATGGCCTCAGCAAGTGTTTGAACGATCCTCCTTTCTACCTCTTGTTGAGCCCATCGTTGCAACCCTCCAATAAAATATAAAAGTTGTGCAGCCTCCGGCAAATTATCAATTTCGAGCACGAGGGTTGTAAATTGCTTGATGTACTCCTTGATGGTGCTGCTATGCTTGAGTTCACGCAGCTTCATCATGGAGACCTTGGCTGCGTCATGCGGGCGGAATTGCTTCTTGAAATCTTCCTTGAATTGGTCCCATGTTCGGATGGAACATGAACCATTCTTGATGTCTTGTTCACGCCTTCTCCACCACAGAATGGCATCATCTCCGAGATACATAGTGACAGCATTAATCTTGGAGGCATCCTCCTCCAAGTGCACAGCCTCAAAGTATCGCTCCATGCTCCATAGGAAGTTGTCAATTTCCCGAGCATCCCTCTTTCCATGATACTTTGGAGGCTTGGGAATTTCCACCTTAGGACCGACTTGAATGGTGGCGCCCCCAGCCATCGTGGTCCTTTTTAGCGACGTGAGTTCCTCCTTGAGGAGCTCGTTCTCCTTCTTCAAAGCAAGGAGTTCCCCCGTGAACTCCTCACGCATTTTTGCCATCTCGCCCATCATCTTCTCAAAAGCCTGATCAGCGAGTGATTGAGCATCAAGGGATACCTCTTCTAGACGATCGTCTAGTTCCCCTAATTGCCCTTTGAGCGTAATAACTTCATTCTCGACCTTGCCGACAGAATCCGTCATGTCGCAAGCAGCAACTTCGGCTTTGGCCGATCTCTCATCAACTTTATTCACTCGCTTCTCAAGCTTTTGGACAGCTTGAATGAGAGCCTCAGGCGCATAGCCCTCGGTTATTTGTGAAGCACTAGCGTCCTTACCGTCCTTGCTCTTTGCCATCCTTCCTCCTTCGCTCACAACTTGCTAACAAAGCTCGACAGCACTATAGTCCCCCGCGA